CAGAGGGGTGAAAGCAGATGGGGCCAATCCTCCTTGCCCCGAAATATCTTCTGCTACGAGGGATAACGACGGCGTAGATGGGTGCGCCGACCGCGTTAGCGGCGATGATGAAGATGACATTGATGACTTTTCGATGTGAAGATGACATGCACGACTGGGTCGAAAGGCGTTGAACACGCGCAGGAAGAGGGGGGGTTGGTACGAGGCATATTTTCTGACGATTGCATGTGCATATATCCACGTTGTCGTTTTCGCGACGGGCGGACGTGCCGCGCTCCTGAGCGAGCAGCGGCGCCGGGGAGGGAGGGAGCTCGGATGGGGTTTCGAATCGGGGGGGGGATGTGCAAGAGATTTAATTTCGAATTCCATGATGTGGTGTTTCCTCCGCCTCCTGCATCGCCGATTCTTCCCGCCCCTCGACCCCGGGCGTCTCTGACGCCCAGCGGGTGCGGAGGGTGCTTCGAGAACATTTTGTGGGGCATCGCATAATATATAAGTTCTTGCATGAACGGCGCAGATCGCATACGATCTGCGCCGTTGCGCGCAGGATCTGCGAAGAAGGATGGTGTTATATATACATATATATATATATATATAGATGTATTTGTGTTTTGGATCTGCGTACAGATGTGCGATCATGAGCGCATGTCGCTTGATTTGCTCGCGATCTCCGCGGCATTCTCCAGAAATACGGCGGGGCGCGGTTCCGAGATCGGGCGCGAGGAGGGGGGGGGGGCTGAAGCGTGATCTTTGCTGTCGGAGGAGAGTGGGATCGGGGATCGAGGGCTTGCAATGAAGGATTGATGTGTGGATCGGGGGCCGAGGGGATGGGGATGGACCGGGAATCGACGATCGAGGATGATCGAGCTTCGACAACGATGCGATTGGGGGCCGAGGAGGACGTGATCTATAGGAGGCAAGTCGCGAGGAGCAAGGGTCGAAGAGGAATGAGGAGGACGATCGCCGGAAAGAGGAAACGGCGATCGAGGGCCCAGAAAGAAGGTGATGCGCCCGCGGGCCTGTTTTTTTCGTGCCTCATGAAACTAATCGGCACCTCAGCCTCACTAGGATTTCGCTCGCGCTGGCGCGTTGGAATTTCTATCGGCGATCGGTGGGGATGAGGAAGGAGGGGGAGTTGGAATAAAGAAGGAGGAGGTCGGGCAGATTATATATAAAAACATATGTGGTGTCGGGCCCGAAAACCTCGTCTCGCCTCGAGAAGGGCGCGTCGCGCAGCAACAGCGCCGTGTGTTCGCCTCCTGGGAGCGTGGCCCCAGGGGCTCATTGGGCGTGCAGACGCTCGCTCCGAGACGGCTTCCTCCCCCTCCTCCTCCCCCCCCTTCTCCCCCTCTTCCTCCTCCTCCTCCTCCTACTCTTATTCCTCTGCCTCTTCGTCCCTCTCTCCCTCGGATGTTGTCATGGTGAAACGGGTGGCGGCTCTGCCGCGTAGGGAGGTCGTGGAGGGGCTTAGAGGTGAGGATCGATGAGGAGGAGGAGGGGCTCGGAGGTGAGGATCGATGAGGAGGGACTTGGAGGTCCTTGCCGCGCACGAGGCGGCGGCCCTCCCCGCCCTCGCGGGGCGGCCTTGCCGCGCACGAAGCGGCGGCCCCCCCCCGCCCTTGCGGGGCGGCCTTGCCGCGCACGTGTGAGGATCGAGGAGGGGGGGGGGGGGGATGGGCGAGGCGGCGGCCCTCCCAGCTTTTGCGGGGCGGCCGACCGCTCGGCGCTGGTAGGTACTTCAGGACGTCGATGGGGCGCAGCTTGCTCACGTCCACCTTTTGGTTAGGAGAGTATCCCTGCACAGCGTCTTGAGGTTTTGATGCAGTAATTCGGGTGGACTGTCTCGAAGTGTCAGGCTTGTTTGGGGACGGCCGAGAAGTCGATCCATTTGACGAAGATGATTTCCTTCCCGGGCGTGTATTTCGTCTTAAAGCGGGAGCAACAATCTTGGCGGACTCCTTCCTGCTCGTGTTCTGCTCGATCGTGAGCAAGTGCGTCCACCTTTCAGTTCGGATCACAGTCTTGCACCGCACGTGCTGCCCCTTCTCCATGTCGTAGCCCGTCTTGTCCTCGCAACCGTAGTATGTGTTCATGCGGTTTATGATGGCAAGGGACTGGTCTGAATAATCAAACATCAACTGGTATTGGGGGCAGATGGTCTCGGGGCAGCCTCGGCAACGCTCTCCAATCAGCACTGTTGTCACTCATGCCGCTGGGCTCGAGCCTGCGCAGCCTGAAGAGAAGAGGAAGACGGATAATGGGAAGAGGATAACGAAGCGGCAGAGAAGGAGGAGATGTGGATCGGAAATCGGCGAGGATCAGGAGGATGAGCAGGAGGAGGAGGAGGAGGACAAGAATGCTCCTTTCAGATTCCCTTGAGGCCTGCGGAGTTCCTCGGGCTTCCTCTCAGATTTCTGCAGGTCTCTGCAGGCGTATATATCTCAAGCGCTCGGAAATCCGAGCTTCGATTGTTGTGCTCTTTATTTGTTGTGTTCCTCGCCGTCGTCGTCTTCCTCTCTTCCCTGTCGTCGTCGTCGCCCCAGTCGTCTTCGCCCCGTCGGCGCGGCGGCGTTGTCCGATCGGCGCGCGATTGCTGGTGGTCGTCTCCGTGGTGCCTGAGGCGCTTAGCAGGGTAAGTACAACATAAGATGATTCGACATAGCGCGGCATGGTTCAACATGGCGTAGTCGTCGCCCTCCTCGTCTGGTGTCGATCGTCAACGACAATCGTCGATCGTCGATCTGAGCCCGACTCGATCCGAGAGAGCAATCGGGCTCTTGGTTGCGGGCACTCCGTCGGACTCCGTGTTCCCCGCCCCGCCTTCCTCGGAGTGGGAGCGCCCGCAGTAAGAGGACACATATCAGTTTGAGTGGGAGCACGAGCTGCGACAAGAGCTTGACCTCTCCCTCCTTCTCCCTCCTCCTCCCTCTCCTCCTCCTCTCTTTCTCCTCCTCCTCCTCAACCTCCTCCTCCTCCTCCTCCTCCTCCTCCCCCTCCTCCTCCTCCCTCCTGCTCCTCCTCCTCCTTCCCTCCCCATCATCCTCCTCCTCCTCCTCCTCTCCTCCTCCTCCTCCTCCTCCTCCCACCTCCTCCTCCTCCTCCTTCTCCCACCTCTTCCCCTCCTCCTCCTCCTCCTCCTACTCCTTCTCCTCCTCCCTCTCCTCTCCCTCAAAAGCTATGTTTCCATGGGCTGTTTCTACCGAGCTTCTGGCGGCACAGCGGGTCAATCCTTGTCGCGATTGAGCTCTCGGGCCGCTCGATGAGCTCTCGGGCCGCTCGATGAGCACACGAGTGCAGATGGACTACAGCAGCAGTGGCATGTGTCGGCGAGTCGCGTTGGCCGAAGGCTCACGGTCACCTTCCTCACGGCCCCCCTCCCCCTCCTCTTCCTCCTCCTCCTCCTGCTCTTATTCCTGTTCCTCTTCGCCCCTCTCTCCCTCGGATGTTGTCGCGGTGAGACGGGCGGCGGCTCTGCTGCGTGTGGAGGTCGTGGAGGGGCTTGGAGGCGAGGGTCGATGAGGAGGAGGAGGGGCTCGGAGGGGGGGATCGACGAGGGGGGACTTGGAGGTGAGGATCGATGAGGAGGAGCTCGTAGCTCGGAGGTGTTGGCCCTCCCCGCCCTCGCGGAGCGTCCTTGCCGAGCACGAGGCGGCGGCCCTCCCCGCCCTCGCGGGGCGGCCTTGCCGCGCACGTGTGAGGATCGAGGAGGGGGGTGGGGGAGGAGCGAGGCGGCGGCCCTCCCAGCCCTTGCGGGGCGGCCGACCGCTCGGCGCTGGCAGGTACTTGAGGACGTCGATGCGGCGCAGTCTCCTAACGTCCACCTTTTGGACAGGATAGTCTCCCTGCACAGCGTCTTGAGGTTTTTGATGTCTCCCTGCACAGCGTCTTGAGGTTTTTGATGCTGCACTCCGGGTGGACGGTCTCGAAGTGCCAGGCTTGTTTGGGGACGGCCGAGAAGTCGATCCATTCGACGAAGATGCTTTCCTTCCCGTGCGTGTATTTCGTCCCAAAATGATAGCAACACCCTTGGCGAATTCCTTCCTGCTCGTGTTCCTGCTCGATTGTGAACAATTGCGCCCACCTTTCAGTTCGGATCAGAGTCTTGCACCGCACGTGCTGCCCCTTCTCCATGTTGTAGCCCGTCTTGTCAGCAACAGTAGTATGTGTTCATGCGGCCATTATCGTTGGCAAGGAACTGGTCTGAGTATTTAAACACCAACTGGTATTGGGGGCAGATGGTCTCGGGGCAGCCCCGGCACCGCTCCCCGTTGTCACTCATGTCGCCGGGCTCGAGCCTGCATAGCCTGAAGAGAGGAGGAAGACGGATAATGGGAAGAGGATAACGAAGCGGCAGAGAAGGAGGAGATTTGCATCGGAAATCGGCGTGGACCAGGAGGACGAGGAGGAGGAGGAGGAGGATGAGGAGAACGCTTCTTTCAGATTCCCTCATATTCACATGGAATGAGAGCTCGCGCCCGTCACACGTCATCACGGAGGCGCGCACACGCCGGCCCGGGTGCCGGGGCTCCTCGCCGGGAATAGCGTCTTCAAGCGCATTTGCGTCTTCACCCTTTGGTTGCGCAATTGCGTCTTCAAAGCGATTAGCGTCTTCACCTGCTCGACCGCCGCTGGCCAATAGAGTGTTCAAATAGCGTCTTCGTCTTCAGGCCTTTTGGGGAATCACCCAACAATTCAACAGGACCACCACAACACTACACGTAACCACCCCCAGGAAGTAAACAGGACCATGCAAAATAAAAAATATGATCACCCAAAAATCAAACAGGACCATTCAAATCAAGAACAGGACCACCCAAAAAAGTAAACAGGATCATCCCAAGAAGTAAACAGGACCACTCCAAAAGAAAACAGGACCACCTGTGAAGACGAACACCCTAGAAGTGCAGCGGATCACGCCAAAAGTAAAGAGGACCACCCCAAAGACTAGGCAGGATCATGCAAAGGCCTGGCCCGGCCAAGGGCGAGGGCCACACCATCGCTCCCTGGCCACACCATCGCTCCGGCAAGCGGTGGCAGTGGTCCCACAGCTCCACCAGCGGCTTCCTCATGAAGTTGAGATATGAAGCGTGCCACTTTCTGAAGCTCTCCCTCAACACCGCCCGAGCACATCCCCAGAAAGTATACAGGAACGGGAAGAGGATGAGGCGCGTGTGCAGCGGGGGCATGGCGACGATCACGAGATGCATCCCTGTGATCTTGGACAGGTGCATCGGGCAATAGAAGATGCAGTTGTAGAGGAAGTCGCTTGTGGGTGCACTGCCCATGCCGCTGAAGGTGACGACAGAGGCGGGCGTGAGCAGCGGCCAGCGACCGAGTATGCGGCATGAAGGCCAGGGCCACGACGTTCAGGCACCACCTCGCGAAGCATCGAGGAAACATATGGAAGCGCGGGCCACGGCAGGCGGCGCGGCGCCCGGCCAGGGGGCCTTGGGCGAAACAGCAGCAGAACTCATTTCGGCCCAAGTCCGAGATCCCACGGAGGGGACGGACTTGAGCCAAAATGGCTACGGAGGGGGAAAAGGAGGAGGAGGAGGAAAAGGAGGAGGAGGGTCTCCGAACGACAGGAGCTGCAGCTGGAAGTGGGCAGCCGGCTCCTGCGCGCCCCCGCACGTCTGCTCCGACGCCCCCGTGCTCGCGCGTCCATTAACCGCGCGAGGGGACAGCACGCCCGCGCGCGGAGGGGCACACCCCGCCTCGGACGGCGGCGGAGGGGGAGGAGGAGGGGGAGGGGGAGGAGGAGGGGGGGAGGAGGGGAGGAGGAGGGGGAGGAGGAGGAGGAGGAGGAGGAGGAGGGGGAGGGGGAGGAGGAGGAGGAGGAGGGGGGGACAGCACGCCCGCGCGCGGAGGGGCACACGCCTCGCCTCGGACGGCGGCGGGGCTCTCGCCGAGGCGAGCGCGGGGCACGGCGAGGGCCCCGATGGGCGCTCTCCCGCAATGCCGCGCGGCTCGCGGGGGCAGCGGCGGAGGGCGGATGGAGCACCCCCCCCCTGCCGGCACGTCGGTGCCCTCGCCGACCAGCCACGTCCGGGGGAGCTGTGGTCCTTACCCCCCTGGGGGGAACCCATTCGCATCGACGACCTCTCGAGAGGGGCGTCGAAATCGAGGGGCCCCCCCAGGGGGGGGGAGGGGCCACGGCTCCCCCAAATTGTGGCCGGCCTGCCTCGGGGGCCCCCCCCGGCAGCTTTCAGTGGGAGCCCCCCCGGGGCCACCGTGCCTGGCCACAGCCGTGCGACGGCCCGTTTGTGACCAGCGTCTGCATGGCCACCTGGATCCCGCAGCCAGATATCGGATGTGCCCCGACACGACTTCTGGGCTTCCGCATGCCGTGCCTTGCGGAAACAGGCTTGGGCACACCTCGGAAAAGAGCATGCTAGCATCCCAAGGGATATCGCAGGGTTTTGCAAGGGAAGGAGCTCGATGGGGGGTTCTGAACAAATGCCAAGAAGACTTACACAGCAGCGATGTGCCCCATCCTAGCCTCATCCATTGCAGCTCACTTGTCAGAGTTTCTCGGATCTCAATTATGAGCCCGACTTGATCGCGCCAGACGGCCAGGCGCTTGTGCAGGACCTGTGGCCCTCTATATGAAGGACGTGGACCATGACTTTGCCCCTGCGCCCGACTTCGCCCTGGCCCCAGGCAGACACAACACCACTCGAGCGCCACAGGCTTTACCAGGAGTTGGACCCGGAAGACCAATGTAACGGTGCTCCGACCCCAACCACACTGAACCTGGATCAGGTTTGTGTTCCGACTCTGGCTAGTGACGGCCTTCCTCTTCCTCCTCCTCCTACTCATCCTCATCCTCCTGCTCCTCCTCTTCCTCCTCATTCTCCTGCTCGTCGTCCTCCTCCCCACCACCCACCACCACCACCCACCACCACCACCACCACCACCACCACAACCATCATCATCATCATCATCATCAGCATCATCATCAGCAGCATCATCATCATCATCATCAGCATCATCATCATCATCAGCATCATCATCATCATCAGCATCATCATCATCATCAGCACCATCATCAGCATCATCAGCATCATCAGCATCATCATCAGCATCAGCAGCATCAGCATCATCATCAGCATCATCAGCAGCAGCATCATCAGCAGCATCACCACCATCATCATAATCATCGTCGTTATCGTCGTCGTCGTCGTCGCCGCCGTAACCACCACGGCTTTCCCAAGCCTGGATACACGAGGTGTCACACGTGACGGCCTCCCATGCCCCCTTGAACAGTCGCCACACATAATGCTTGTGCGAATTCCCTCGGACCTGGCCGCCTGGTCTGCTAGTGGTCTGGTTGGCGGGCGCGCATGCCGCTCGTATCACGGGCACGCGAGAACAGGTCTAAGGCTGATCCCCAACCCCAGTCGAGAGGGGTGGGCCGATGCTCCGCTGTGCAGCGCTGTGCCGTCCAGGCCAGCAAGCAACGAACCAGCGCGCTACCAGTTGGGACGGCAACTGCACGCGACGCCTGGCCATTGTCAACACACAGGAGGAAGAACGGTGTTTTTCTGTTGCACGGCGATTTCAAAGCGGTGCAACCGCGCCCTGCGAGCAACGTTGAGATGCAGCGTACTCAGCGCGTTCGTGCGGGTTTTGCTACCCAGCGTGGTGCGCGAAATAAAGAAACCGATGCTTGCACGTGCCAGGCTCTGCACAGGTAGAACATGATGCCCCTCTGTTTGCACTGGCCACTGCGCTCACTGCGCTCGTGCCCGCCCCCTGACTATGGCACAGAAGAGGATGAAAAATCTAAAACGCACAAGTGCAAATGTCGTTGAGTCGCTCGCTCCTCTCACGCGTCCCCTGCTAACAGCAGGGAAAGATGGGAAGAAGGGGAGGAAGGAAGAGAAAGAGAAAGAGAGAGAGAGAGAGAACAACAAAAAAAAAAAACGAGGGGGAGATGGAGATGGAGAGGGATAACGAACAAAAATCTAAGCAAGCCATCCTGCCGGACAGCACGCCACCCTCCGAATATCACACCCTCCTCATCCTCGAATCCTCCCAGCCCCCTCCCCCCCTCATACTGAAAGGTAGGCGGGCATCCTTGCCTGGCTGACGACTGCTGGAATGTGGAAAATCCCTGGAAGACCTGGGAAATCGCTTTCCAGCATTCTGGGCAGGCAACCCAGGCGTGAAACTCGTGGTCGCAAAGTCTCGGTCTCGCAAGCCCAGGCAAAAGGTCCAACGACGCCCGCGGCGCGCTGAAGTCTCTAGACTGAGACCAGCCCCTGCAATTCCACATCTGCTCGCCATCCGCCCTCGGCCAAGCACGCCAGTCGATCCCTAGATTTGGTCGACCGCAGGGACGAGTGTCTCACACGCGGCCGAACTACCGAGCCCACGGACCCGACGGCTTGCTGCTTCAAAATCAGACAGTAGCATTGAAAAACTGTCGTCAGGGAAGGTGCATTCTTGGACGTCCCCTGCTGCCTCCCCTCAACCCCAACCATCCAGGGCTGAACCAGCACAGGACGAGCGTCCGAGTGCGGCCAGGGCCTGTCCAGCCTAATGGCAGGTTCCGCTAAAATGTCTCGCTCGACCTACCCTTTACTGTGGGCACCTGCTGGCAAAACGACCCCCTCATTATCCCAAGATCGAATGGCTTCTGCACCGCGGCAACGCGTTCTCCTCTGGGGCGTGAAGCAAAAATCAGCCATGCACCACTGGCTCTGTTGCGCAGCTGGTCTTCTTGCTGCGCACATACGACCGAGCCCTGAATTTGAACGTGCGCCGTGGTGGCGAGGCCGGCGCCACTGGCGTGGTCTCCGTGGTGATCTCTGAGAACTTCTGAGCAGAGACCTCGCCGCTCAGCTTCCGGCGCGCAATCACCACCACTGCCCCGATCGCACCTCTCAAGGCCTGGGACGCGTCCCAGCCTGCCCCGGGCGAATCTGCACAAGCACTGTCAGGGCTGCACGAGGCATCCGGCTCCGCGAGCGCCCCCATCGCGCGCTCCGGGCCGCCCCACTCTGCGCCGGCAGGGGTGCGCGAATCGGTTGGCTCCACGGACGCCACTCCAGCGCGCGGCAGGCCGCCCAGGTCCTCGGGATGCGGTGTGCGGGCCCTCACGACGCCAACCTTACGAGAGTACATTGGCTCGTACATTGGCTTGCGAGAATACATTACGCCGAACGTCGGTGGCACGCATGGTGGTGCCACGCCACCCGCCAATATTGGGTCTTGGAGCCAAGATTCATCGAACGCTGGCACCGCCATCGAAGAACAAAGCCTGCGGGGGATGTTGCCGGAGCGGCGCGCGGATGGGTCGACGAGACAAGTCAAACTGTGCGCTGACGAATTAGGCTTGCAAAAAAAAATGCTTGAGACAGAAAGGCTACCAATGCTCGAAGTGTCTTATTAGCCCCCGGCATACAACAACATTCATTTCATGACGGTTCGCTCATATCCGATCGCGTGCCATAAAAAATGCACATCCCAAACCATGGATACCCGCCCTCTTCGTCTTCGATCGAACCCCTCTGGGGGGTTATATTACCTCCCCGCCACGTGCAATTGGACAGGCTACCAAACAAGAAAACGCAGGAGAAATGAGAAAGGAAGATAATCAAAACGAAGGGATCAAAGGAAGGGAGGGAGGAGGGGAGGGCCAACAGGCAGGGAGGACGACGATTTGCGCCGCGAGTTGCGCTAAAGTTTCCGCCATGGCTTGCGCCGGCCATTCCAAAACAGGTGGACAATACACCGAACTCATTTCTATAGCGCTCACTTCTACAATGCTCACTTTCAAATTGAGATCCGGTAGGGGCCGCACATGCACGCACATGCCGCACAGTCGCATGCACATGCCCATGCAACTCCGAAAAGGCCTCAATAGCATTGCCGCACATGCGCGCACCTGCCGCACAGTCCGATGCACAGTCGGATGCACAATCTAGAACAACTCCGCAAATATAAACGTACATACCCGCACATGCCGCGAAGTCAAAGACTCGGAGAGGCAGGGAGGGGTAAATGGGGATGACAAGCCAGGAGGAGAGGCTGGCGCTCGAGCAATAAACACCATATCCAAATAAGGAATGTGGCAGGCGACAGCACCAATCCAACACAGGGATGTGGTCAGCGTTCGGATGATGTATCACGCGAGGATTTCGCAGGCGAAAATGACCTGGCCACCTAAACACATGGCATATCGGATCCGAGAGTTGCGACGATGTCTCAAGCGAAAGTGGCCGGACCACCATGGGCCATGGGGCAGAGCATCTCCGAGCTCAGAATTGCGAGGACATATCGGGCGAAAACTGCCCGACCATCTCAGCTCAGGGCATATCGGAAGCCTGAGTCGCGAGGACGGCTCAAGCGAAAGTGGCCAGACCACCATGGGGCAGGGCATCTCCGAGGTCAGAGTTGCGAGGATGTATCTGGCGAAAGTGGCCTGACCACCTCAGCTCAGGGCATATCGAACCCCAGAGTTGCGAAGATGTCTCAGGCGAAACTGGCCGGACCACCACGGGGCAGGGCACCTCCGAGTTCAGAGTTGCGAGGACGGCTCAAGAGAGAGCGCCCTGACTTTCTCAGCTCATGGCATATCGGACGCCTGAGTTGCCAGGATGTTTCAATCATTTAAAAAATGCTCGCTCTTATCTGCTCGAGTGTCTATCAACGTGTATTTCCGAAACCCTCGATACCCGGGCCCTCTTAATCTTCGATCGTACCCCTTTTTGGGGGTATCGGAGGTTGGGGGGTGAGATCGCAGTGAAGCGGAGACCCCCCACCGGGAAATCTGTTGCGGTTGTGTGTTCTCGTGCGTGCGGGCGAGGCGAAGCTGCGCGTGATCCTCCTGTAGCTAGGCCGAAATAGGAGCGAAAGTCCGTTCCCGTCCGCCGGTGGCTGGGAGATGTCCCAGTTGGGCCCGGCGGTGTCCCGGGTGTCCCGGGTGTCATTAGGAGCGAAATGTTTCCCGTCTGCCGGTTGCCGGGAGGTGTCCCAGCTGGGCCAGGCGGTGTCCTGGGTGTCCCGGGCGTCCCGGCGCTAACGCATGTCGCTAATTTCATAATTCATTTTTGTCGGCGCCTGCGGCGGGCTTTCTTATCCAATCCAGCTTATCTTATCCAATCCACCTTGTCCAATCCAATCCATCTTATCTTAATATCCAACCCTTAATGTCCCATCTTATCGTATTCCACCCAATCCAATCCACCCAACCCAATCCATGAATTCATTTGTTTCTGCGCCTGCGGCGGGCCAATCCAATCCAGCTTATCTTATCCAATCCATTTCTCCCAATCCAACCTATCTTATCTTATCCAATACATCTGATCCCATCCTATCCAATCCACCCAACCCAATCCATCAATTCATTTTTGTCGGCGCCTGCGGCGGGCTTTCTTATCAAATCCAACATATCTTATGCAATCCACCTTGTCCAGTCCACCTTGTCCAATCCAACCCATCTTGTCTCAATCCCCCCCAACCTCCTTATCGCCCGCAGGGCGGTCGTATCGGAGGTTCGGGGGTGAGATCGCAGTGAAACGGGGACCCCCCACCGGGAAATTGGTTTCGGTTTCCTGTTCGTGTCGTGCGTGCGGGCGAGGCGAAGCTGCGCGTGATCCTCCTGTAGCTAGGCCGAAGTAGGAGCGAAAGTCCGTTCCCGTCCGCCGGTGGCTGGGAGGTGTCCCAGTTGGGCCGGGCGGTGTTCCGGTTGTCCCAGGTGTCAGTAGCAGCGAAAGTCCGTTTCCCGTCCGCTGGTGGCCGGGAGGTGTCTGTCCCAGTTGGGCCGGGCGGTGTCCCGGGTGTCCTGGGTGTCCCGGGCGTCCCGGCGCTAACGCATGTCGCTAATTTCATAACGTATTTTTGTTCGGCTGCGGAGGGTGAGGGTGGCGCACAATCCTCCCGCCGCGCGCCCTGAAGGGAGGCGGAGCAGATCAGCTGGACTTGCCGACTCCTGGGAGGAGGAGGAGGAGGGGAAGGAGGAGGAGGAAGGAGGGCGAATGGGGAGAAGGAGAGGATGACGAGGAGGAGGACGGCTTCTGGAAAGGATTATCTACATCATTATTTTCTGCTTCGGTTATCCCCTTGATTATTCCTGTCGTCATCTCGTGCTCTCCTCCTGCTCCTCTTCTTCGTTTTCTCACCCCGCTGACTCTTAGTTCGCCCCCTCCTCTATGCTGCCTCACTTACTGTTCCCATCCTTATTGCTCCCATCCCTGGTTCCTCCATTCATCTGCCTCCCTCTCCCTCATCCGCTCCTCTCACACCCCGCTCGATCCTCCTGTGCCCTCTCTCCCTCTCCTTCCACCTCCTCCCGTATGTACCGCGTGCCCTGCCCGATCCCTCTCCTCCTCGTTATCCTTCTCCTCATGTGCAGCTTACCCCAACATAATGTTTTTGGGAGATAGTGGGTTATCGATAGCACGGCAAGTTCTACACTCTAATAGTTCTGGAGACCCTCGTGGGGCCTTCTTGGATTTCTTGGGGGCGGCTCGGGTATTCGGTTCGGAAAGTCTCGGGAGCTTTCTGTAGCAGGGCTCCGAGGGCTCCGACAGGATCCCAGGAAGGCTCCGAGAGAGCTCCACGAGAGCCCCCCAAAGAGGCACAAAGTATATGCACGAGTTTGCCTCTTTTTGGGTGTTTCTGGGATCTACTGTGGGCCCTCAGGGGGCCTTCTTGGATTGTGGTGAAGTTTTTAGGGATTCCAGGGGGCTCGGGAACTCCCTGAAATAGGTTCCAGGGGGCTCCGGAAGGGACCCAGCCGGGCTGCGTGAGGGCACCCTTAGAGGTACAAAGTATATGCATCAGTGTGTCTCTTTTTGGGTGTCTTTTGGGATCTATTGAGGTCCTGGAGATTAGAGAGGCCTCTAGTAATGTCCTGGGGGCCCAAGAAGCATCAAGAGGCTCCCAAGAAGCCCCAAGAGGCCCCCAAAAAACCACTCGAGGCTCCCAACAGGCCGGCTACTGGTCTCAAGAGGCCGCAAGAGGACCCCATTAAACTCCAAAAGGCGCCCGAGAGGCGCTCAGAAGTACCAGTGATCCACGAGATCCCAACCAGCATTCATGAGGTTCTGACTCATCGCCCACGCACGGTGGCGGGATGGGGCGAAAGTCACTGGATAAATGATGAGTGAGGGGTGGGGGGGGGAGAGAGGAGGGGCGAGGGCTAAGAAGGATCACATCAGGCGGGGCGCCCCGGATCGGCGGCATTGGCCGAAGGTTAGGACAATGAACGCAAACAAATGGAAAACATGTGCAAATAAATGTAAGTAAATGCGGCAAGGGTGCGGGGAGGTGAGGCAGCGCAACTCGGGGCGTCCTCGGGTGCGCGATGAAGGAATTGCGGTAGGGGGTTAGGGCGCAGAGAGCGAGGGGAGGAAATAATCTATCAAAAACAGAAAGGGTGCACGTACATATTGACGCGTTCAAATAAATGTAAAAGGGGGGGTGGGGGCAGCGCAACTCGGGGCAAACCCGGAAGCTCGAGGCGGGGGGGGTGGCAGCGCAACTCGGGGCAACCCCGGGAGCGCGAGAAGGAGATCTGCAGGAAGAGACGCGGGGCGAACGCTCATTGGCTGAGCGCGCGCGCGCGGGCACTGGCCGGCTCATGTCACAGTGTCGGCGTTCTGACTCTCCGCGTAGGCGGGGAAAAGATTGTGGCCGCGGTATTGCCCCTTGCTGCCCTTGTCCCAGAAGCAGTTCTCGTTCCAAACGCTGGGGGACGTGCATCACTTCTGCGGCCACTCCGTCGTGAGAAATTGGATATCATCTTCCAATTGGTTTGCTCCTCGTATTCCCAGCACCATCTGACCTGGTTCTTGGGGGCGGCGTACGATCGATCTCCGCGCCATATATAATCGTTTCGGTTTTTAGCAACGTTCTCCTGGTGCGCTGTCACAGCCTCTTCCATCCACTTCTTGTTGAATATTCGATCCGCCGCGATGTCGGAGGCGGATGTCCCCGTCACCTTCTTCTTCTTTTTCGTTCCCTCCGAGCTCACTAAAATTTCCATCGTCGCCGACGCGATCTCCCTCGCTTCTGCGGCCTCCTCCTCTTTGCTGTCTAGCGTCTTCGCCATGGGTTCCATCGCGTCTTCGTTTGCCATGGCGTCCGCTTATCGTTGGCAAGGATCTGGTCTGAGTAATCACACATCAACTGGTATTGAAGGTAGACGGTCTCGGGGCAGCCCCGGCACCGCTCTCCAATCAGCACCGCTGGCACTCATGCCGCCGGGCTCGAGCCTGCACAGCCTGAAGGTCAGACGAAGACGGATAATGGGAAGAGGATAACGAAGCGGAGTGGATCGGAAAACGGCGTAAGATGAACACGCATAATGGGAAGAGGATAAGGAAGCGGCGTGGATCGGAAATCGGCGAGGATCAGGAGGAGGAGGAGGAGGAGGAGAACGCCCCTTTCAGATTCCCTTGAGGCC